TAGACCGAACTCCTTTTAACATTTACAGAGACCCAACAGTACCATCTTTTATCCTTTCACCAGCAGCTGAAGCAACCCCACCAACGGCACTGCGTTTAGTTTTTAGTGCTGTTTCTAATGCAGTGCTGGCTTTTGGTCTGAACACCCACTTTCAATCAGACGACAGCCGTGACAAACCCCCAAAAAGTCACATCAGCCGTCCAGGTAGTGTTTCCTTCTTGGTGGATACGGATAAAGTGCACTGCTAGTCGGTCTACTGAAGCACTCTGAACAGTTTAGAGTTTGACCTGCAAATGTCAACCTCGTTCAATTAAGATGCTAAATGGTGTATGCAGGCTTCATTCTTCAGTAACACTGCTCTGCCATTACCTTGTAAGCCACAGTCACTGAAGCATCATTTTTAAGTTAGACTTTAAATAATTATCAACTGTGTTGTAACAATCGGTAACACAGAGTTGCAAATGATGCATATTTATTCGTCTGAAAATGTCATGAATGATTACAGCCGATGTTTAACAATTTTAGTGGAATTATCGACAAAATAAACTGCTCCGATGATGATTTCTATAAAGAATACAGTTTTGGGAGCTGTTAATATGGAAGCATTAAATCTCCTTTAACTGAAAAACCTGAGACAAAAAAAGACAAATTATTATTATCAGGGAACAATGCGATTCAATTTTAACATCAATTAGCCTTTTGTGAATCAACTGTCAGAGAAGTTCGCTCAGTCGTATTTCCTGCTGGTGAAATTATCAGCTTCGCTCACACAAATAACTCATCGAGTGGGAGAAAAAAAAGAATAATGAAATGTCACGACCACCCACGGCATTCACTTCCACACAGTGGGACTAAAATAAATTACACAACAAGTAAGGGTTGAACAAAAGTGCCGCACAGCCTTCAATGTCACACAAAATGAAAGCCATAACGTTGCTGCGTCTAAAAGTGGATATCATCCTCCTGTCAGAGTGGATAACGAGCACATGATGATGAAGCAGTGCAGTGATACAGTTTGGAAACACTTACAGTTGATGCTAACATTGATCCACCGAACCACACTGCATATCTCTGCATATGATGAGTGATAACTTGGACGTCGATCGGTTTGGGCTGAGGAGGAAGGACGGAGAGAACAAATGGTCAGTGACACTTCAGGCCCCATGGGAGCAAGAGACAAGAGAGGGAATATATATATTTTAAGAGATATTGTTAACATATGTTCTATAAAACAGAGCAAAGTCTGTCTGAAAAGTCTTTCAGCTATAAATAACACAGCAGATGTCCACTGGTTCTCTATGTAACTGTGGTACGTGAGCTAATATTTGTGTTACCAAAGGTACGTATAAACTGTGCAAAACAATATTTCCTCTTCTTTGTAAAAGTGAAGCTGAAAATACAGCCTCATATCTCTTGCCGTGTCTCGTCTGTTATCTTCTGAACTTTTTCGTTTTCTAAATTTAGAGAAGCCAAAACCAGTTAGTATCACGATTCACTTTTCATCTCACCGATTTGAATCTTCACATATTAGTATTGCGATTTAGCCGCCTCGCAATATATCGTTACATCCCTAACACGGAGGAATCTCTGAAATATTAAATAAATACATTTAAAATACATGTATTAATATTAAAATACTACTAAATGTGTTAATCGTGTAATGTACATATATGGTTTCCATACATTTCATCCATGAAGGATATTTTGGGACAGAAATCACGTGTTGCAGACAAAACCTGCTCAAATTACTTGTGAAATCCGGCATGTTTTCTATTTATTTTTTGGACTCGGATTAGCTACTTTCACCACCTGCTTCTTCCAGGCCTGAGGCGGATTTAGAGACGCCAGTCAGCTCAGCCTCAGGCTGACATTCAACATCTCATCACAGATATTGCCTTCGCGGCTTGGAGGCTTGGAGGCAGGAGACTGACTATAGTATACTTCTTCCCATTTGTAAATGATAAGATCCCATTACGTTTAAACTTAATAAAATTGCTATTGAAATCATCTAATCTACATTCAATACACATCTGTAGCAACAGTTACCGTAGTGGGAAAGGATGCAGCTCCTCACAGTGATTGTGTTTTGTCGAGCAGTATCGATCTTCGCTGCGTGTAAATTAATGCGTCTCACCTTAAGCTTCCCTCCACTCAGCTCCTCACTCATCTTCAGTCGAGCATCAACCGTCCTCTTCAAGTCTCTCTGCAGACGACGCCCAAAGTCCCTGAACATGGTGGAGCCTCCGGAGAGAACGATGTTCTGTGGAGGAAAAGATGGCAGGATTACAAAGCTGGAGAGTGATAAGCTCCTAACACCCGTGTCCTGCTGCTGGCTACTGGTGTTGGAAGTGCATAGGGTACAACTCAGTGATGAAATACCGCTCGAAGACAGCGACGTATCAATCACACTTATTCCTTTTCATCGTTTCAGTCTCTCTGCTGGGTGTCATAACAAAATAAATTGAATCAGAATGAGTCAAGGCTCTGACACAAAGCTAATTGCCAGGGACAAAGCAATTCATCACTTTAAACTAATTCATTTAAATCCAAGCTAAATTATTAAAATAGATCCGCTGACAATAATGCAGTAAAGATGTCGGTTGATGTTAATCTGCTTAGAAATTAACAACAACAAAAAAAAAACAGTGCAGTGTGACTACTACTTTGAAACAGTCACAAATCGATTCACTGACGGGTCTGAATGTTGTGTAATAACTTCCGGTAGAGTCAAAGCAGGACATTAAATGGTGCAAAGTATTTCAGAAAACAAAAAGAGCTCAATCTGATCCGTTTGTGAATCACTGGCGAATGTCGGCTCACCTTATAGAGAGGGCGCCTGACATCAATCGGGCAGTTCTGAATGACTTCGTCCACAACTTCAGAGATAGGCTGGGTGAAGTCAGGGTTGGCAAACTGCAAGTAAACAAAGAAGACATGTTATACTGTGCAGCAGAGTGTGTGTGTGTGTGTGTGTGTGTGTGCCAAAGTAATTATCACACACAGTAAAATGTGTCAGAGGTGAGAGACTGCGTGTGAGGAAACAGCCGACCATAAAGAAAGGAAACAGTGGAGAGCTGGGTTAACTAACTAAAGGTGGAGAAACACATTACGACTGTTCAACTGAAATACTTTGAGTCTGTTTCAAGTCCGGGCCAGTTTGTGCCGACAGTCAGGAAGTAAAACCATTCTTTGTGAAGTGTTTGAGGACTCTAATGGTTGGTCTTGTACCAAAGCTGTCGACATCACCAAGGTGGGACACTCCTACTCTCCTCTCCTACTCAAAGTACTGTGTTTAGTTCAGGCAAGGGGTGGTGAGAAACAGCAGAAAGCACTTTACAGGTAAGCAGAAGAGAGTAGGAACTAGCTACGCCCGGTGAGTCAGACGTTTGCGTTCTCACATACAGCTCCTCCGGGTAATGTCTGGATAAGTTCAGGGTCGCAGTGCATGTGTGAAAGGGACTCCATCGTTCAGAGTGAGAAAACATTGTGGTGTGCCTTACGTAAGTGAGACTCGTTTGTCCTCGTTGGTCTGATCCCTCTCTATCCTCAATCTCATCCAAATTTAGCTTCTCTTTTACACCCTGTTCCAGTCGAACTGTTGCGTAACTAAGCAAGGCGGACTGTCGTTGTCTAGATTTACTCACTCACGCTCCTTTCAGACCTTCGCAACTGTGGTTGTTGTGTACGTGCTGTCTATTCTTTGCAGGCTGCAGTACTCTTAAACTGTGTTCCCCGCTCTGATTCACACTGCACCGACCAACCTCTGGGTGGAAGAAGATCTCAGGCCCCAGGAAGCGCTCGTAGCCCACATCGATGGTGAACTCCTTCTTGCTGATGGCATTGATGCCGGTGTACTGCTTGATCCACTTGGAGCCGTCCGTGTCGTACTTGTTGAACTCTTTGACTAGATCTGGGCACACGTAGCTGAACCGCTCCTGATGGGGGGAGAACACAAATAATGATGTAGAATCAGCTTCAGAATAGAAACACAAAAGAAAACCTCATAATGGAGCTTGTAATTCGCTCTGACTGAGTGCTGGTAATGCTTGTAAAAGGGTAACAAGGGCGCAGAGTCTCCTGGGGGTCAAAAACAAGCTCATAAGAAGATCAACATATGAAGTTGTTTGTGTGGCTTAAACTGCACAAATCAAAAAAGTAATAGGTGGAAAATTTTTATTATTGCAAGAAGAAAACCTCCCTATAGAAGGATATATGTGCTAATGTTACAGAGATAACCAGAATGTGTCTGTACTCTTAATGTGCAATTTAATCAATGCAGAGGTTAATTTTAATGCTTATTATGGTACTTCATGTGGCCATCACTACCTGAAGCTTTAACTTTGTGTCTGTTAGCATCATCACTGCTATTAGTCTATTAAAAAAGTAGAATGTGGTAAACAAAATCACAGCTAAACAGTCATTTTAGTGGTTTCGAGCTCGTTTTTCATTTCTAAATAGTGATATTGTCCATTTATAAGCTCTCGTAACATTTTCCTTCCACATCGGTATCACCAGTCAGTTTAAACCAACCAGCAAAATGAACCTCCTCTTCTATACGTGTCAACATTTTGTTTTTGAGTGAGTTTTATTTACCTTGCTGGTGTATTTTACTGCTATTTGGTAAAGTTCCAGTAAACACATTCGATCTGAAAACGTACAGGAGTTTAGAGTGTAATTGATTTTGCGTCTGTAGCAGCGACTGTGAATGAGCAGAGCATTACAGTGCGCTGTATTCAGAGGAGATGTCATTGTTTGATTTGCAGGCAATGCGGTCCATACTGCGAGCCAGACAGCAGCGGAATTAACATTTCCAGACATGATTGGCAACATGCACGACGCGCTCCCCCTCCGTGTTAATGCTAATTATTTGAATTCACATTTTTTGTTGTTTGTCTGTCTCAGGGTAATGAAGAATAGTCTCTGACACTGACAACAAAGTCTTGGATAACAAGCTATTTAATAAACATGAGGGAATCGTGGAGAATTGAGGTGAATCAATAAATTGTGGTCACTGGCAAAAAGGAGCAGAAGTATGACTGACATTAACGTGAAGTCACATCTGTTTGTGACCTGGGAAAACTAGAAAAATACATTTGCTGAATTTTAGTGATGCATGTTCGGAGACACAAAGTTTAAAAGACGAATTCATCTTCTGTCTGTAGCTCGGGTTGATCTCAGAGTGGAGAACAGCGTTGATTCTCAGACACTAAACAAGCACAGCAGAACAAAAGCAGTGAGATTTTGAAGGACACCGACTGCATGTCACAGTAGCAGAACAACAGCGCCACCCAGTGTCCTCATGAAGGAAAACAATACATTTCCAATTTCCCATCCAAGAACCAGAAGTATTCTCATCCCAGTGACAGACTTCTAGAAAAAACTCAATATTCAAATGTAATATCATGGCCTTTAGTTTCACAGCAGTTTGTAACAGTCACATGTGCTGATGGATATTATTTAATCGGTTCCAATTCTGTGTGTATAAAATAACAAACTCGTGCCAAATATATTTAATCAGGACAGCAGATGTTATACTATTCAGCTACATTTCAAGGTCTTCGTATGATTTATTTATGGATTGTAGACATAAAAAAACTGAAATAGTGAAAATACTTTATTTCCATGTTCCCCGAGATGTTAAAAATCAAATTGTTCCTGTAAAGAAAGAGGGTCTGTTGATGATGAGACTTATTTTAAGCCAAAGTCAAAGAGATCTATGTGTGTGTGTGCAGTTACGTTCAGGTACATTACCGTCCGTTATAGAAACAGGCAGGTTTAATGGACTCCCTGAAGTGAAAAGACTGTTTTTTTTGTTGTGATTTAAGTGAGATTGAAGATGAAGTCAGTTTCTGGTTTTATTGTTCATTACACGATGATTTAAAGGCTGCACTTTCCAGTAAAAGTGTCCTTCATTTCTGATGAGGTCTTCTGGATGGATGATGTGTTTTAGGAGGGGAACCTTTTGTGTGGCAGATTATATTTGCACAGTCTGGGACAGAAGACAAAGCTCTTTGTTTGTAATGTAATTTAAGAATTCATGTTTGAAAAATGTTTCACCGCAGCGACTGTATTTGTTTGGTGTCCCTTTAAGTCCATGTGGGACTCGTACGTGCAAGTCACAATACAGTTATTATAGTTTCTTATTTGTCTTTAGTTTTTGTTGTTTAGTTGGTTATATATTATACAATGTTTAGTTTTAGTTGAGTCTTTACTAGTTTCAGTGTTAGGTTTTAATATATTATTATTATTACGATAAGGAGGGTGTTTGTCAGGGGATTCAGAATAGATACAATACAAACACACTGACCCATTCTCAATAATCATATGTACCAGCACGTATCATACTTGTTGTGTTGACAAAAGACACTTCCTGTATATTTTTATTTTATGTACATTTTATTCAAAGTCTAGTTTTTATTTCAGTTATTTAAAAAGTTTTTTTTAGGTTTAGTTTTAGTTAACTATAATAACCTCGTAAATAACATAATTAGCATTGTATATTCATTATATACATTAATATTCCTTTAAATATATCTGGTATGGTTTAGTAACTTTACGGTGAGCTAAACTGTACTTCTTTACTTTATCCACGTTCAGTTTTGATCGATCTTATTAATAACGTACTCCACAATTACATAACATTATACGTTATCAGTGTGTGCATCCTGTCCAGAGGCTCTCCAGATAACAGCGAGGACATTCATTCACCAGTGTGTCACACAGCAGAGGAAGCACAATATTCAAAACATAGCAGAGCGCTGAATGCCAGAGAGAACACACAATACCACTGCTGTGAAACTGCCTGTGTGTTGCGTCCCACTGATGATACATGGAATAACTTGTGTGACTCCTCTCAGCACCAGTTGCAGTCGTTGTTGGCGTCTTAGGACTTACCTTGACTGCCTTGGCCGTCTCCAGCGACTGCTCCGGTGGGATGCCCACCTCCCTCTCCCTCAGGAGCTGCTGGGTGAAGTAGGTGATGTCTCGTCCTGCGATGGGAATGTGCTTTATACAGCTGCCAATTACATAACCTTCAGCCTGCGAGACGGAGGAATAAACAGAGACACAGAGGTTGTGTCATATAATGTGCAACAGGCCTTCTGCATGTCCCCGTGCTGTTGTGTTTCTAGCAGCGGCCACAGACTTGCTGATTCAGTCATCCAGCCTATAAATATATTCTGCAAGCACATTTCCTACATCTGAGTAATTCCTTCCAGCCACTGAAACACTGTGGCCTACTTTTAAACAACACTATCCTGTTACTGCGCAAGTGGACAGGTGGAAATATTATTTTATTTTTTTAAAAAGGAGGGAAAATTCTTCATCCACAGTGAATAAAACCTCAACGTCCTACCTGGTTACTGTGAAAACCTACATGAGAATAAATGTCGAGGTTTTATGAAAGAATACTCAATAACTTCCTTAAAGTTAAAGCCCATTATTATTATTCAGTGTGTGAGTGAGGGAGTGGAAACTCACCACAGGGATGACGTGGGTGACACCATCTCCGCTGTCGATGACGGTGCCTGTCAGCGTCCGCTCTCCCACCTGTCTGGACGTCCAGGAGGCGGCTAGAGCGAGCACCGCCTGACACACACACACAAACACACACACAGTAGAAATGTCGTACAACGTTATTCTGTAACACTTGTACCGTGACAAGAAGAGAAGTACACATGTCTAGGAAGTTATTCAACTCGGTGTATCTCACCTGCACAGCAATGTACAGGCCCGGTACATTGAAGGACTCGAACATGATCTCGGCTGTGTACTCTCGGTTTTCTGGTGTGTTCAGAGGAGGCTCTGTCTGCAAACGGAGAATAAATACCACATAAGCACACAGACACAGTGTATTCATTCTGTCACAAACTCACACATAAAAGAAAGTGGGGAAAAAAAACACAATTTTAGCTGCAAAGAAAGTTATTTGTGCCCGAATTCTGTGTTTCTAGTCCTTCGCTGATGAGCCAAAATGTTTGAATTTGCCCATCAAGAGTCTGAATCTGTTGTGGACTGAGCACAGTTTTTAAACCTCTTACCAGGAGGAAGTAGTGGTCCTCAGGCTCAGCCCTCAGGTACTTGAAGATGATCTGCTCCATGAAGCGCTCCATTAGGTCCCAGTCCTCCACAATCCCGTGACGGATCGGCCACTGTTGGCAGAAAAAAAGGTTCAGCTGATCACAACACAACATCCACTCTATTCAGCTTAAACTCCCTGTCTATAACACACGTCTGTTCACGCTTATACAACCGCACAGACGTTGTACGTGTAGATGCTGTATGTGAGCAGCAGGGAGTTACCTTCTAATTCATTTCTACAATCTCTGGTGGCATAACAGGACTTTCAAAATAAAATCTGTCAGCAGGTCCATCAACATAAGGCGGATTCTTCTTTTGCTGCAACAACGTCTGAAAGGCAGAGCATGTATCTGGTATGGTAGACAGTGTTAACGTCTGCTTTTCCCTGGTCAGTCCTTTTAGTTTGCTCTTTCAGGCAGTTAATATATAAATAATCGACATATTAATAAAAGAGCAATAAGCTTTTTCACCATCTACAATTAGATTAACGCCCTCTTTTTCTTTGTGTTGCATTGGAGAAGAATAGTGTACATTTGTGTAAATACTGTATTTGTACTTTATGTTGTGACTTAGTACGTGGAGCAGAATCAGGACACAGTTCTGGTGTTGAGCACGATGGCTAACCGGCTTACTGGGACACCTAAAGGGAGCAGAGCCATTGTTCATGACCTTAGTTGCACCTGCTGCTCTATTTTTGTTTTACCTTTTACACTTTATTTTTAGTATTATCCCAAAAAACAAAGAATAACTGCACGTCAGCAAAGTTACAGAACATATACTAAACTTAGAGTTATCTCACACATCATCTAACTCTCTGTTAGTTCACATAACATCTGAACCACTAACATATAATCAATCAACGTCCTTTAAAAGGGCCATGTTGTTGGAGAAACACAGGTCGTTGTTGGTCATTCCACCTTAAATGAAAAGCACAAACGTTTCAAACATCATAAGGTAATGAGTTCACAGAGTTAGTTAGTTTGACCCTGGTTAAGTTTCTCTTCTCCTCGCCCACCGTTGCAGCAAAACAGCAGGAAAGTCCCTCCTTGAACCTGCTTCTTGTTTACGAATCACTAAATGAAACAATGAATACATCAGTTCTCTAAAGACACTGCAACAGAACACAGTAATTGCTTTTCCAGTCGCTCCTGTGGGTGTGCCGAGCGGTCAGGGTCATGTACCTTAGTTGAATATGAGGGCTTGTCTACTGCTTCATCTCCGATGTAGAAATCCAAGTCATCCACCCCCTTCATCATCCTCCGCTGGGCCTGGTCTCCCACCTTGGCTGACTCTTTGATGGCAATACCTGACAAGAAAATAACAGAGAGAAACAGAGAAAATAAACTCTATAACAAAGTTACTTCTTGATAAATAAGTTGGAATGATTAAAACTATTAAACTTAAGGAGAACAGAAACCCTTGAGGAGCTGAAAAGGCTAGTTGACAAAAGAACAACCTTCTTCTTTTTAATAAAAGATTCATCGCGCTCACAGTTAGAGTCGAGTGTGAAATACTCACATGAAGGAACGATGAACTGCGGCTCTGTGTTCCCTGCATACCCCAGTTTGGTGTAACTGCAGGAGAGAAAAAAAAGCATCACACTTCAGGACACAACCAACCACCTACTCGCACTGCTGACGCCACATTTGTATGCGCGAAAGTTTACTCCAGTAAAGATTATTTTTGGCTGCTATCGGTTTAATCAATGCCGTCACTGTCCCTCGGCGGGTTGGTTCGGCGCCAGAAGCAGCGGCAGCTCTGGGCTTTGCTGATGGGAGGCCGTTAAAAGAGCCATTCATGTCGCACTGGGAAACTGAAGACTATTCATATTTGTCCAGGGGGGAGAAAGAAAAGAACACTTCTGCATAAACTGACCATCTTTAATATAAACGAGCCGCGACCTCAACACTGCGGTATTCGTCTCTTTGAAAACCTGAAGAGGGAAGTTTAAATTTAACAAAAAGAAAATGACGCAAGAAGTTTTCTAAGTCGGAAGCAACGCTCATCAAAGACTTCACACTTCACGGGCTTCTCCGTGTCTCTGCTCTGCACAAAGGGTATTTTAAGAGGCCACATGTTAACCAGATGTGGCTCTGACTGTAGGCGCAGACGGGACTCCCACACTTCCTGCACACGGGGGCCCGAGGGACCGATAGAGGACACTGCTGACAACCGCCAAAAGCACTGCGGGCATAACAGGCCACATCCTGGTCACAACAGAGGCTCCTTTGAGTTCAACTTTATTTGAAAAAGAAGCAGGAATGAAGTGAGCAAACTTAAAACACGAGTTATAGCGATTAACAACTGCGGTTTGTTCGTCTGCAGCAGGTTCATGAACGCTTTCACGCTTCCTGTCCTGCACGCAGATGAAAGGTTTCATTACAGGAAACATTTTAATTTCAGACATTTGTGCAGAATAAATACACAAAGGAAGAATAAACATAAGACTAAGAAAGAGCACTGTCTCTAATATTGCAGTATGGTGGAAAAGCAACGATTTCTTCTCACCAGGTGTCGTTTTACGGCCGCACAACATCTGCAGATTTCAGTTTAAGGTTTGCAATATCAACTCCTGAAAGTAAGACGAACGTAAAACAAACACTGACTCTTACAATCCCTGCTGAACAAACTCCCCTGAGCACAGCAGTGGAGCTAAACCGTGAGAATGACACCCAGTAGAGGAGGAAACAGGTACGTGTGTTCAGCTCCAACACAGAAAGGAAAGTCTGCTTCACAGCTGAACGCTCACAACCTACATTTATGTTTTTCTGTGTCACACAAACGTCTCCCTGCTCTGTCGTGAACTGGCACTACCGGACGGGCGACGGCGAGGACGCGACCCCTACAACACCAGCCAGCCGCGTTTTCCCCCGCTTCGGTTGGTTTTTGGTTTGTCGGGGAGCTGAAAGCGTAAAAGAGTGAATAAAAGTCACGTTATCTGATCTGACTTCACCTGTGTGTGGAAAACCAACAGAGCTGCCAAAGGTTGATTGTTTTTAAAAAGGTAGAGAGGAGAAAGAGTAGAAATAATATCACAATTCCCTTTTCACTGCTTTTCTCATTGATTAAATATCAGTATCATTTATCATTTATATCTATTCGGACAAAAGAATCGATCCAAACCGGCTTTTAATCCACCAACTCAACAAAATCCAGAAACATGACTCCTTGCAGTATTTATTATCTGCAGGTTTTTATATCTGCATATTGTTAGATTCATTTTAAAGCCGCAGTTTGTTGTTGTTTGCTGTAAATCAGATGGTTTCCCAGGTGGTGAAGACTAAAACAGGACTCAAAGGAGTCGTCACATCACCAATAACTCAACTCAAAGTGCAAATGTTGTGTTTTTTTACAGTTTTTACTGTTTTTAAGAAGCAAAAAATAACAATAATGCAGCTTTAAATAGTAACTATTTCAACTTTAAAACAATAACAACATATTGTTTTGCATATTTATGTGATCCGATAGTGTCCTTTAACTTAAACAGATAAATGATTACTCTTATTGCCGTCATTAGAGTCACAGGTGAATCGATAGTGTGTCTCAGGCTGTCCACTTTAATGTGAATGTTCGACTCATTTTAACATATTTCAACATAAAACATCCAAAAGACTTTTAAAGACAGCGACTAAACGTATCAGCGGCACTCTGAGCGCCTTCATACCACAACAGTCCTCAACCTGCCTCGACAGGCAGCACATATCTGAGGGTGGACGAGCAAAGACAGCTGGACCGAAACGTTTCTGTCACATTATTATTCTTATTTAACTCAATGAAACATTCAAATCACTAAAAAAACACCTTTTTAAAATGTAGCTCAGTCTAAAGTGTTTCTAACGTACTGTTTTATATTGTTTTACTGATTCATCTTCTTCTTATATTGTTATTGTACTGTGTCTGAGTATAAAAGCGCTTTTTAAATAAAATGTTTTATTACTATCTCCTTTTTTTTGGCAGCTTATAACAGAAAACCTGTCGTCTGTAATGTTTAATTTAACGTTTAAAACCCACGACGACTAAGATTAACTCATGAAAACTTCAGCTGTTTGCTTAAAGAGCGACGAGGAACGACTCCACCCAACCAACAACACACCTGAGCTTCACCTGTTCTCCTGCTACAGAAGGTTTAAAGACAACCTGAACTGCAGCTAACCCTGAACCTGGATGCGTCTGCGACTCTCTCACTGCTCTAACAACAGCAGCAGGCCGTTCAGATGGTTCACGGATAAAAAAGGAAGTGGAGTCGTCACTGTTTGGACTCTCTTTTCGCTCTTTTAACATCTGCCGACAGCTGCTCTGTGATTGAGCTGCAGATTCTCAGATGGAGACTGGTTAACAGGAGGTGGGAGGAGGTGGGGGGAGTATGAGGAGTTCAAGCCTCTACATGCAAGCAATGCAAACCACGTTTACCCCCAAAGCTTACAGGGCAAACCCATCACGCTGGGTGCTGTTATTTGGGAGAATCTGCACGTCAGCTCTGGTTAAAAGACGTTTTCCTTTAAAAGTACGAACAATGAGTAAAGAAAACTGTTAAAAGAGACATTTTAAAGGCCTCTCGTGGGTTAAATGTTCATTTAAAAGCTAAAACCAGATGTTAAAATCTACATTTTCCACCCTCAGTAATACAAACAGTGCTGCAGGAGGAGCTGAGACTAAATCAACCTCTCTGTCACTTTCTGGCATTTAAAAACAAAAACCTAAACGCTGCTGAATCAGATTCCTACTGTGCAAACACTACTGAGACAATCGGGTTGGAAAAAGCCTCACAAAGGGGAGAAATTAGAGAAGTTAATGAATAAAGCCGAGAAACGACCATATATGGACTAAACAGCGTGAATGAGGAAGTGTAGGCTGAATAGGAAGTCCGCACTGCGCATGCTCAAATCCAGACTAACGAGCAAACAGATTTATGAATTCCACTAAAAATCACCGTTACCTTCACGGGACGCGGATTATTGTGGGAAATTTGGGGCGATTAACACACACATAGCGTTTTGGCAAAATCAGCCTCGCCAGCTCCAAATGAATGAAACCAGCTGTGTGTGTGTGTGTTGGGAGGTGTCCTCAGTCAGGTTGAACGAAAACACACACACACACACCCTTCACGAATGATGATAAACGAACAACCACGATTTTAAAAAAAACATTAAATAAAAAA